CCGGGATGTTCACAGAACTACCGAGATGTTCATAGAACTTCCAAGTTGTGCATAGAATTTTCGGGCAGTTGTCATCACTTCCGGAATGGTCATAATACTTCCGAGCAGTTCATAGAACTTTCGAGCAGTTCATAGAATTTTCAAACAGTTCTTAGAACATCCGAGCGGTTTATGGAACTTCCAAAATGTTCATTGAACTTCAGAGATTTTCATTAAATTTTCGAGGTGTTCATAGAGCTTCCGAGATGATCTTAGAACTTCAAAGTATTACAAACAATTTCTGAGCATTCGTCAGCACTTCCGAGTTATTCAGAGAACTTTCTAGATGTTAATTGAACTTCCGAGATTTTCGAAGTCATTCCTTACAGATAATAGAACTTCCAAGATGTTCGCAGAACTACCGAGACGTTCATGGAACTTTCAACTTCTTCTTCTTCTTCGCATTTCAAGCTTATTGCATATCACATATTAGCTTATTGCGTGCTCTCAACTTAGTGTTCTAGATGCACTTCCACAGTTATTAATTGAGCGCTTCCGATGCCTGTACCATTTGTTGCATTAGTATAATTGTGTTGCAAGTACAATCTTACTCTATGCCCAGGAAAGTCGAGAAATTTTCCAACCCGAAAAATTCCTAGACCGGACCGGGAATCGAACCCAGCCATCTCCAGCATGGTCTTGCTTTGTAGCTGCGCCTTTACCGACTGAGCTAAGGGAGGCCCCAGAACTTTCAAGCAGTTCATAAAACATCCAAGCAATTCACAGAACTTCCGACATATTCATAGATTTTCCAAGCAGTTTATAGAATTTACAAACAGTTCTTAAAACTACCGAGCGGTTTATGGAACTTCCAAGATGTGCATTAAACTTCAGAGATTTTCATTTAAATTTCGAGGTGTTCATAGAGCTTCCGAGACATTCGTATTCGATTCGATATTCGATGATCATAGAACTTCAAAGTATTACAAAGAATTTCTGAGCATTCGTCAGCACTTCAGAGCTATTCAGAGAACTTTAGAGATGTTCATAGAACTTATAGATAACAGAACTTCCAAGATGTTCACAGAACTACCGAGATGTTCATGGAACTTTCGAGTAGTTCATAAAATCTTAAAGCTATTCACAGAACTTCCGACATGTTCATAGATTTTTTGAGCAGTTCATAGTATTTTCAAACAGTTCATAGCACTTCCAAGCGGTTCATGAAACTTCCAAGATGTACACTGAAGTTCGGAGCTTTTCATTAAACTTTCGAGATGTTCACAGTACTTACGAGATATTCGTAGAACTTCTGAGCATTCATCAGCACTTCAGAATTATTCAGAGAACTTCCGAGATGTTCATAAAATCTTCCGATTTATTCAGAGAACTTTCGAGATGTTCAAAGAACTTCCTTACATATAACAGATCTTTCGAGATGTTCACAGAACTACCGAGATGTTCATAGAGCTTCCGAGATGTTCGTGGTACCTTCCTAGATCATCAGAGAAATTGGAAGAACTTTAGCGAAATTCGTCGATCTTCAGAGCAATTTTCAGCACTACAGCGAAGGTCGTAGATCTGCAGAGTATTCGGCAGTTCACAGAACTTACGGGAAGATCGTTCAGATAAGGATAAATTAGGGAGTGCATCTAGAACACCAAGTTGAGAACACGCAATAAGGTAATATGCATTAAGCAATAAGCTTGAAATGCGAGGAAGAAGAAGATTTGTGTAGAACTTAAAATAAATTTTCAGAATTGCGGAAACGTTCTTAGATCTTCAATGAAATTAACAGAACTTCAAGGTTGTTTGTAGATCTTCAGAGTAATTGTCAGTGCTTCAGGGAAGTCATTAGATCTTCAAAGAAATTTGCAGAACTTCAGGAGTGTTCGTTAATCTTCAGAGAGATTTTCAGAACTTTGGGGAATTTCGTAGAAGTTCAGGGAAGTTTATAGATCCGCATAGAAATTTTCAGAACTTCAGTGAAGTTCGAAGTTCTTCAGATTAATTTAAAGAACTTTAGACAACCAAAATTTCAGTTGAGCATCTCATAATAAATTGTCCTACGCATCAAAACCTCCAAGACCAATACGGTATCGGTATCAGCATCAGAAACGCATTATCTAATAACCCATATAGGGACAGATTACTTCTCGACTTCCTTAAAGACACCGGCTATTATCAATTTCCGTAAAACCCTGCAACGAACAATGACACGATAACGGACGAACGACGGCACTTGGCCAATACCAGCTCTCTAAGTGATATGACAAACGGAAGAACAAGGACGACAACCCCGCAGGCTACGGGCATTGACTCTCTCTCTCGGAAATTAACCACAACTTCGTTCACCTTCCTTACTGTTACAACAATCGACACAGAACTCTGAGATCCTTAAACACTATGTAATGTATTTGTAATGTATTTATTTTTTTTTCTCTCCGGGACCCCTCAGGAGTCCCTTCCCTTCAAAGAGACGAACCAGCTAAAGGCTGAAAGTTTCTATAATAAAGAAAAGAAGAAAGAATTTTAGGCAAGTTCGTTGATCTTCAGAGTAATTTTCAGAACTATAGCGAAGGTCGTCAATCTCCAGAGAAATTGACATTACGTCGGGGGTGTTCGGAGATCTTCAGAGAAATTGGCAGAACTTTAGGGAAGTTCGTAGATCTTCAGAGTAATTTGCGGTGTTTCAGAGAAGTTTGTAGATCTTCAGAAAAAACAACAGAAGTTCAGGAAACATTTTTAGATCCCCACAGAAATTTTCAGAACTTCAGAGAAGTTCGTATATTTTCAGATTAATTTGCAGTATTTCTGGGATGTTCGTAGATCTGCAGAGAAATTGAAAGAACTTTAGGGAAGTTTGTAGATCTTCATAGTTATTTTGCAGAACAACAACGAAGGTCTTAGATCTGCAGAGAAATTGGAATTACGTCTGGGGTGTTCACAAAACTTCAGGGAAGATCGGAGACCTTCAGAGAAATCAAAAGAAGTTCAGGGAAGTTCGTAAATCCACAAACTTATTTGCAGAACTACAGCGATGTTCGTTGAATTTCAGAGAAATTGAAAGAACTTTAGGGAAGTTCGGAGACCTTCAGAGTAATTTTCAGTGCTTCAGCGAATTTTGTAGATCTTTAGAGAAATCAACAAAACTTCAGGGAAGTTCGAAAATCTTCAGAGAATGTTCGTTAATCTTCAGAGAAATTGGCAGAACATTAGGGAAGTTCGTAGATTTTCGGAGTAATTTGCAGTGCTTCAAATATTGTTGTAGGGGAAATGGATGTAATATCGGCTTAAATGCCCCTAATTTGGGCCCATATATAAATTCAGCAATCGACTAAATGTTCAATAGCGACCAAAAATATCCATAAGTACCGTCCCAATGCCGCGTTCATCTAGATAAAATTGATAAATAGCAAATTTTTAGCGATGGGTCCAATATTAGATCCATAGGCCATTTCCCCTATATCTTTAGATAAAACAACAGAAGTTCAGGAAAGTTTATAGATCCTCACAGAAATTTTCTAAACTTCAGGGAAGTTTGTAGATTTTCAGATTAATGTGCAGAATTTCTGGGATTTTCGTATATCTGCAGAAAAGTTTAAAGAGCTTTAGGGATGTTCATAGATCTTCAGAGTAATTTGCAGAACAACAGCGGGGTGCTCACAAAACATCAGGGAAGTTCGTAGATCATCAGAGTAATGTGCAGAACTCCAGTGATGTTCGCAGATTTTAAGAGAAATTTGCAGTTTCTTAAGGAAATTAATAGAACTTTGAGGAAGCTCGGAGATCTTCAGAAAAATTTGCAGAAATAAACCGAATTTCTTAGACCATCAGAAAAATTTACAGTATTTAAGGGAAATTCACAGAACTTCAGGGAAGTTTGTCGATCTTCAGAGAAATCAACAGAAATTAGGGATGTTAGTAGATCTTCTTGGAGCCTCCCTTAGCTGAGTCGGTAAAGGCGCAGCTACAAAGCAAGTTGGAGGTGGCTGGGTTCGATTCCCGGTCCGGTCTAGGAGTTTTTCGGGTTGGAAAATTTCTCGACTTCCCTGGGCATAGAGTATGATTGTACTTGCCACACAATTATACCTATACAAAAATGGTAGCAGACATCGGAAATTCTCAATTAATAACTGTGGAAGTGCACCTAGAACACTAAGTTGAGAGCACACAATAAGCTAATATGCGATAAGCAATTAGCTTGAAAATCGAAAAAGAAGAAAAAGAAATTGATATTCACAGAAATTTTCAGAGCATCATAAAACTTCAAAGATCTTCAGAATAAATGTCAGTGCTTTAGGGAAGTTCGTAGATTTTCAGAGGCATCCAAAAAAAATCAGGGAAGTTCAGAGATTTTCAGATAAATCAAAAGAAGTTCATAGATCTTCAAAGTAATTAGCAAAACTACAGGGATGTTCGTCGATCTTCAGAGACATTTTCAGTACTTTAGGGAAGTTTTCAGAACTTTAGGGAAGTTTAGAGCAGTTCCACGGCAAATGGCGAATCGGAAAAGCTTAATCTTCTCTGATTTGCGTGAGACATTGCACAATTGTTTGTTATAGGAAATCATTCACATTTTTTGCTAAAACTCGGTCATTTTGTCATTCAGTACTTGAGAGAAGTTCGTAGAAATTCAGGGAAATTGGGTTCTTTAAGGGTATTGAGAGGGTAAATGCATGTTCGTTATCTGCATTAAAAATAAAATCAATTTTGGTCCACTGGAACTATTTACATTAGCAAAACTCACCATTTTAGCGCCCCTCGGTGGGACTTCGTTTGGGAGCGAGCTGTCAATTTGTTAGTTTGGTGTCAAACAGTGAAGTATCATGTTTCGTTGAACATCTAAAAATCTGAGAGTATTCGTTCCACTACTTAAGCCCTAATGATCTGAAAATCTCAAAAATACAATTACTACCATTCTTGTACGAGTCAATATAACCTCTTAAAACTACTATCATTTAGTAGAGCAAAATCATCAATCTTTGTCAACTCCCAAATAACACCTTTCACTCTTCCAGATATCGCCAAATCGACAAGCTTCCGCAACACCAAATCCCTGATGGACGCCCTCAACTCGCTCCAGCCGTCGTACGAAAACAGCGGCCGGGCGTACCACGGCATTCTGCGGACCTCCCAGGAAATCCCCTACGACAGTGCCATATTCCTGGCGACGTCCAACACCGCCACCGATAAGGAGCTCTCCCGGATGGCAGCCCTCACGCTGCTCAAAAAGCGTATTCGGGTATGTTTCTAACCATCCCATTCCAAGTTTGCCTCACCACCGGTATTAACCTAACCATTCCTTGCAGCTCTACGTCATCTGGTTCGGTGACGAAGTGGACACCAGCCTGTCCGATCAGCACCTGGACAGCCAGACCGGTTTGCACGAGCTGGCCTACAAAACCGGCGGTGAGGTGATTCGATTCGAAATCGATCGCCACTTTGGCAACAACCCCGTACTGGTAAATTTGTACCCTACTACTCCACGGCAACAACCAACCTACTAACATGCGTCACCACATTATGCTAGGTCCTAGCGCCTGGATTGCTGTAATCGAATTCTAATCCGGTTCTCCTGCCATTTTAGACCACCCTTGTGTCGGAGAGCGACCTCCGCGGGCACCACAGTATCCCGATCCCGGTCGAGGAGGACGTCAACAGTCTGTACTTTAAGCTGCATGGAGCCCTGGACACGGCAACGCTTCGGACGCCCAATGGTGACTAGACTATACGCGAATTCTTCTCATTATTTTTTTTTTCTTCTTGTTTGTTACTAAACTATTACGCAAGAATACCACAAGAATACTAATTATATTGATTATTTTTTTTTTGTTTTGAAAAACTCTTCGTTTCTACACACCGCGCGAGTGTACACACCGTCAAAGAGAGTAAATTATTGTTAGCGATGAAGCAGGGAAACGTTTTTGTTTTCGAGCGCGCTGTCCGAGTGGGATGGTATCCCACTTGAAGAAGAAGAAGAAGAAGAAGATTTAGCGGGATGTGGGATACCGAAGGGATGATCTTCGAGACTCTCTTGTGGCATTTTTGCTGCCTGAACGGTTGTGGCAACTGTTAGGTAGCTAAAATCGAACCTTCGAGTGTCACAAAGGTCACATGAAGGACACTGTTGAGTTGTACATAGTTTGCCGCGTTTTTGTTAAGAGATCATTGCCAGTAAGATTTTAATGTGTATTATAACCTGTTAAGAACATACAAATATTAAAACTATTGTTAAACAACTAGCAAAAGTCATCCTTTTTTGTTGCGATGTAACATATAGTTTCTATTGCTAAAATACAGTAATCGAAGTAGTTTCTGGTATTAGAAAAAAAACAAAAACTTATCTGCTATGCATAGTTTTATAAATTACGAACAATTGGAGCTTACTAGCGGCTGGAATCGAAGACTGGATTAATTGACTTATTCGAGCTCAGTTAAAAAAAACACAATTCCTTGAGAATAACTAATATCAGTTGAAGTTCAGTTTCTCAACTGCCTATGCTTAAAACAACGAGAACCGAAACTGATGTTTCGTCGAATGAAACTTAATCAAATTTGGACCAATCAGTGAAAGGACAAATTTTAAAATATACCTGTCCAGAACCCGAGCAACAATTTTGGCGCTTGAAAATCCACTTCAAAAGCAGGTCAAAATGTAAAAGTAGTTGAAATATGCTGCAATTGTCATCTAAGGGTAATTTTGGGGCACTGAATCCGATTGTTACAGCACCCTAACCTATAGATATAGTTGTCTAGAGTGGTTCCATAAATTAAAAATTTTAACAAGGGTTGCGAACTACTTCAGCCTATTCACCCATTATGGGCATACCGAGCATAAAACTCAAAATAAATCCATGATTTCGGCGTTAACAAGTCAATTATGCGTTTCCCAAGTAACACAAATTCATATAATTATGTTGAGTAAACTGCTATATAACCAAAACCAGTCATACAAAGGTTATATAAACTGTTATATAACATGTGTGTTAATTGGGTTGGTACGATACTGTAGGCTACCGAACGAAATCAAGTCAAAAACATAAGAAATGCTTCTCCGATAGGCCACAGTAAATTCAATGGCGTTTCAATGCGTTAGGCCGAATTTAGAATCAGAATCCGTAGGCCGATTTTGAGGGTCAAGAAGCAGTGCTAGATTTTTAACAATATCTCAACAATGTGTTACTCTTTATCAAATGTTACGGGACGTACGGAAAGGTAAACAGAATTTAGACGTCATCTGCAGTGAAAACATTCCATTCTGTGAAAAAGTCCGCTTGGTTATGCTTAGTAGACCCAAAATTGGATCTAAGTCCTAGCTTATCGAGATTTAAGTCATAAAAAATTTACAAAATTTCAAATAAGGCGTAATTTTCGTGATCTGTTTTTTTTTTTTTTTTAATTATGACTCTTGGGCTTAGACAACCTTTTAGGATTTTAACGCCTCCTAGAGAGTTTTAATGAGAATTCCAAATGAATTTTAAGGAGGAATAATTCTAAAGGAATTCCGTAGAGAATTCTAAAGGAATTTGGTTAGAAGTTCCCGATGTGTAATTTTGAGATGTAAATTCCGTGGTAGTTCTGAAGACACTATTATGAGAATTATGTTTAGAATTCTAGGGAATTTTAAACCACGAGACCAGTAAATCCCGATTAGCAATTTCCCGGTTTTTTCCCGATTTTGTCCAGGTTTTTTTGGTAATTTCCCTGGTTACGCAATATACATTCAAATCAAGCATTTAAACCGAATTCGATTGAGCCGAATGAAGCCCTATGTTAAATGAGCAATTTGTACAATTACTTGTTTTTCCTTGATTTTTTTCTGCATTCGAAGTCTTAAAAATTTCTGCATTTGCTCAGAAATCTATACAGGATTTCTTTGGAATGTTCTCCAGAATTTCCTTTGAAATCATATCCCTTCACAGAGTTCTTTTTGGAAATCCTCTAAAATTTTAGATTCACTCTGACAAACACTCCAGAAATTATCTGCAGAACACTCGACGGAATTTATCCAACGATTCTCTTCGAATTTTGGATGATTCATCCAAGAATTCTCTTGCAGCTTAGGTTCAATCCCAGTCGGCGCCGTCGGGAATTTCTGCATAAAATCTCTGATCACGCCTTCCTTTGGAAGGGAAACGAAGTCGTTGGTCCCCATGACTTGATAGGTCGATAGGTAGGATCCAGGTGTGGGAGCTGCCTCCCTGGCGTCGGTAGCATTGGTCCTCAGTACGGAAAACAAATCAAGGAAAAAATAACAATACAGCAATTCCATAGCAAAACAATATACTGGTTCTCAGAATATCGTAAAAATTTGTAGTTTTGTTCCTTTTGTCAAAATATTAGACTTTTATATTTTTTTTTATTTTGTCATTAGGATGACCATTTTCATGTTAGGGTGGCCCAAAAAATGTTTTTTTTTCAAAAATGACTTTTTTCAAAAATATATAACTTTTAAACCACTGCGGCGATTTCAAAGATCAAAATATCAAATTTAAGGTAATTAAAAATACTTTTTAGAAAAAAAATACTGGTATTACAAAATTGGGATTTTGTATTGAAAAACATTGATTGTATGATTTTTGGTGTTTCTGGTTTGTAGACGTAGCAGACTTTTTTACACAAGATATCAAAAGACCAGCGATGTTTTTTTTTTTATTTTGGGAAATTTTTTTGACGTTTTGGGTTTTCGCTCAATACTCCTATGCGACAAGACTACCATGCGTCGTGATCATGTTACAGTCGCTTCGGAGGCCCCTGAGGAAAAGGCCTTTCTCTAGTTTCAGCAGAGACTAGTTATGCGGCATGTTTAAATTTTCTGAATTTTACGGTCATGCTATGTTATAGACCATGCCAATTGACAAGGGTGACAATAACCCAATGTCCCTGGAACAGGTTCCGGAAGCGCTGAAGGATGTGGCCATCCTCTAATTTCAACAAAACCAGGCGTGCGGCATATCAACATATTCAGAATTATATGGACATGTCATCAGAGACCATGCTAATTGACAAGTGACAATGACCACCCAATGTCCCTGGAACAGATTCCAGAAGCCCCGGAGGAAGTGGCCATCCTCTAATTTCATCAAAAACTTCATGCGACATATCAATATTTTCAGAATTTTATGGACATGTCGCCAGAGACCATGCCAATTGACAAGAGTGAGAATGACCACCCAATGTCCCTGGAACAGGTTTCGGGAGCCCTGAAGGATGTGGCCATTCTCTAATTTCAACAAGACTAGTCATGCGACATATCCATATTTTCAGAATTTTATGGACATGTCGTCAGAGACCATGCCAATTCACAAGATAAACTATGACCACCCAATGTCCCTGGAACAGGTTCCGGATGCCCCGGAGGAAGTGGCCACCCTCTAGTTTCAACAAAAACTAGTCATGCGACGTATCAAAATTTTCAGAATTTTATGGACATGTCATCAGAGACCATGCTAATTTACAAGAGTGACAATGACCACCCAATGTCCCTGGAACTGGTTGCGGATGCCCCGGCGGATGTGGCCAACCTCTTATTTCATCAAAAACTAGTCATGCGACATATCAATATATTCAGAATTTTATGGACATGTCATTATAGATCATGCTAATTGACAAGAGAGACTATGACCACCCAATGCCCCTGGAATAGGTTGCGGATGCCCCGGAGGATGTGGCCAATCTATGATTTCAACAAAACCAGGCGTGCGGTATATCAAAATTTTGAGAATTATGTGGACATGTCATCAGAGACCATGCTAATTGACAAGAGTGAGAATGACCACCAAATGTCCTTGGAACAGGTTCCGAAGGCCCCGGAGGATGTGGCCAACCTGTAATTCCAACAAAAACTAGTCATGCGACATATCCATATTTTCAGAATTTTATGGACATGTCGTCAGAGACCATGCGAATTGACAAGAGAGACTATGACCACCCAATGTCTCTGGAACTGGTTGCGGATGCTCCGGAGGATGTGGCCAACCTGTAATTTCAACAAAAACTAGTCATGCGACATATCAATATTTTCAGAATTTTATGGACATGTCGTCATAGACCATGCCAATTGACAAGAGAGACTATGACCACCCAATGTCCCTGGAACAGATTCCGGAAGCCCCGGAGGAAGTGGCCATCCCCTAATTTCATCAAAAACTAGTCATGCGACTAGTGCGAATTATATGAACATGTCATCAGAGACCATGCCAATTGACAAGGGTGACAAAGACTCAATGTCCCTGGAACAGGTTCTGGAAGCCCTAAAGGATGTAGCCATCCTCTAATTTCATCAAAAACTAGTCATGCGACATATCAATATTTTCAGAATTTTATGGACATGTCGTCAGAGACCATGCCAAATGACAAGATAGACTATGACCACCCAATGTCATTGGAACAGGTTCCGAATGCCTCGGAGGATGTGGCCAATCTATGATTTCAACAAAACCAGGCGTGCGGCATATCAAAATTTTCTGAATTCGATGGACATGGCATTAGAGACCACGTCAATTAACTGGATTTATAATGACCACCCAATGTCCCTGGAACAGGTTCCGGACGCCCAGAAGGTTGTGGCCAACATCTAATTTCAACAAAAACTAGTATTTCGGCATATCACAATTTCTAGAAATTCATGGGCTATGCCATGCCACTCTATGCCCCTGAAACAGGTTCCGGAAGCCCCAGGAAAGTATCTATTTAACGCATACATTTCATTTTTAGT